TCTTTAAATCGATTTTAGTTTTTGATTTTTTAAAAATCCTAAACAAAGTCGGATTCCAAAAAAAAAAAAAAGGGGTTGTAGGGCTTAAAATTCCCTACAACCCCATTTATATATATATATATTTTAACCTATTATTTAATTCAGGAAAATTCTGGTAAAATCGGGTCCGCGGCGCGGACAAGGTCGGCCGCGGAAGCGGCCCCATCTGCGTCCGCCATCCGAGATCGGGCCCGCGTCCGCGTCCGCGGGTGTTTCATAGGTTGCGCCACCCCATGGCACTTCCCAAATCTCGAACCCCCCTCCCCACTGGCCGCCATGCGGCTGCAAAGTCGCGCGGCCGCGGACTTGTCCGCGGATGGCCGCCGCCGAGGGAGATTCGTAGCACCAGAGTCGTCCGACCCCCCCCCAGCCCATCCATCCCCTTAACACCCCCCCGGAAGGCCACGTACAGAAGGCCCAAGGCCGTATTCGTACGGCCGTATACACGTATATATATATTTTCTCACACACCAAAAAACACCCCCCCAATTTTTTTTCTCTTGTTTTTTCTAACAGGGCCACAGAGGCCGACGTGTGACGGCCACGCGCGCGTGCCGTTTTCCCGCTCACACCCCTGCCTGGGCCTGGGGCGGCCGCGCGGCCTCGGCCGCAGGCCCGCAGTCGGCCGCCTCCTAGGCCGCAGGATCCACGGCCATGGGGGTCACGTAGCTTCTGGGTACTATGAGGTGCGGGCCCAAAGTTTTCCGTCTGGCACTACCGGCCCAATTCCTTTTGGGTGCAAGGCACCTTGGTCCCGTGGCCACAGCTCCCTTGGCCTGTTTTCACCGCACTACCAATCTGCTGTTTTTGCACCAGATTTATGAGCCCCAATACACTGTCCTTTGGTTACTGCACTTTGCCCTCGGCCTTTTCTACATCACTTAGAATCTGGTGCTGTTTATGCACAGACTTCATAATCCGGCAGAGCCCATTGGAGCGATGCGTGGGGCATGTAATACCAAACAGGAAAACTTTGGGCGTGCCTAACCTGAGTGTCCTTTTAACGGCCGCGCGGGCAGGGGTGGAGTGCTATTGCCGTTAGAAGCCGTTTAATTCCTCCTACCCCCATTAAATTCCCTCTGAATCACAAATTGGGGGGCTCCCACCATTTGTTTTTCAACAGATTGGGTCTATATGGGGGTTCGGGTATGTGGCCCAGCACCCCTCCACGATTAAAACGAAAAAAAAGGAACCCCCCCCCCNCCCCCCTGTGTGTGTGTGTGTGTGTGTGTGTGTGTGTGTGTGTGTGTGTGTGTGTGTGCGTGTTGTTATGTCCCGCCACTTCACAATATTATGGATGTATAGAGTGCAGGACCTGTCTCTTATACACATCTAGATGTGTATAAGAGACAGGTATGTGCGTGTGTGGGTGTGTTCCATGTGTGTGTGTCTGGGTGTGGGGGTGTGTGTGCACGTGTGTGTGGGCACCTACACACACGAAAAAAAAAGAAAAAGAAACACAGACTCATTTCATCTTCGTTTTTCGTTTTTATTCTTTGTTTTTATGCATTTGAATTTTTAATAATATATTTAAAAAGAAAAAACAAATGTCTTTGTTTTTGTTTTTTTTGCCCACTTTTTCCCTGCGAAAAAAATCCTCGTCAAAAGGAAAAACAAAAAAATACAAATTTATTATTTTTAGTTTTTTTTCTTTCTTTTTCTATTTTTGTTTTTTTTTTTAAATATATTCCAAGACAGGGAAAAATAAAATGTTATAATATTATATATATATCGTCAATATATATAGTCAAACAGAGCTGCCCATGGTAAACCGTAGGCAGAGAGGGAGGGAGAAGAGGACAACAAACGAGGGGCTGTGACAAACTGTTTTGTCGGAGTTTCACTGATATATATTTTACTTATTCTTTGTTGATGAAAAACATATCCGCAGGTGGCATTGATAGTACTTGATACGCGTCAAATTGGCAATGCCAATTCAACGCAGATTCAACATGCGTTGAATTATTTAACACGGACCCCGCCTTTAATTGAAATCCAGACGCTCAGTGCATAACCCAAGACGTTTTCCCGTGGGTGCTATCTGCCAATTATCCCCATAGTTGAACCAGGACATGCACTAGGTAAGCCGTTAGTGGGCATAAAGTATCTATTGCATGGTGAGATAAGCAAACCTGGCCATCGTTTCGCTCACATACATCCAGTGAAGTCCTTGCGTCCATTCAGGGTTTAGGGTTTACGGTGTAGGGTTTGAACTCTCCCCATCAGCGACCGTGGGCCTGCCGGCTGCGGGAAGCGGTGACTGCCACTGACTGGGGGTTATCTGCCTGCAGGATGCCCACTGCTCGCTTCAGGCCTCGAGCACTCGTTCCTCTACCTCATCCAGCGCGTACCAAGTTCATATTAAAATGGATAACCGGTTTATACCTGGTTCTTCCGTATGCCACAGGACTTTGGGAACGCGTTTTAACCCTGTCCAGGCTGTCCTTCGTTCCTCGTTTTATTCTTTTCCCTTTCCCTTTGTTCTTGGCCGCCATTCACATGGTGTCATGGTGTAATCCCTCCCCCCCCCCCTTCATACGGTGTTTTTATTGCACGGTCGACAAGGGCTCTCAAGGGCACAGAGTGGAACATGAACTTTCAAAAAAAAAAAAAAAGCTTGTCACAGTCAATTCAGGGTGTGTTATGTTCGCGGGACCATGGGTGGGCAAAAAGCGGAAAGAAAATGACTCACAGTAACGTAAGTGAGCGAAACTGGATGATGCTGCCAGGATAACTCCGGGTTGAATGGTGGTAAGGTCCACGGCCTCGAACCCCCAATTTGCAATGAAATGGAGTCCAAAAAAAAAAAAAAAAAAACTTTAAAACGTACACGGTCTCAGCAGATAGGGAAAGCTCTGCCCAAGGCAGGTACAAAACGGCAGAAGACGAGGATCACGACCAAAAAAGACAAACGCAGAAAAGCTTCTACATAATGCTCACCGTGGTGGTAGCAGGGACTACATGGAGTCTGGTGGAGAGTCTTTCGTGAAACTTCTCTGAAAGCATTCCCCCAAGTACAAGGGGCGAAGTAACCGAAGTTGTTTTTCTATTGTAAGGTCAACCACAGGTCCACAGGAGCTTGTCCGCGTTGTAATCGGATTGGCTCAGTATAGAGGCCATCTGCGTTAATTACTGCAGGTGGCCGACTCGGCCAGCTGTGGTAATCAACCGGTCAACGGTCAATGCTCGGATCAAAGAGTCGAGAATTCAAACCCTCCCGCCCTCCCCTTTTCCTCAATTTCTTGCACCTGAATATAACTACACGCCGATGCGATCACTAGGGAAATGACGGTTCAGATACGACGTGTTTACCCAAAAAAAAAAAGAACAGAAGGTTTGAGCCCGCCGTCGCCTGGTTTCATGCCCACCAGCGTGTTCTCGGATGCTCAATTATGGCCTAACCGATATAATTCCCCGGCCGTTGGAAGTTAGCTGAGCTAAGAACTGCCGACAAACTTTCAAACTTTCGATAGAAGTGAGATAAGCAAAAGAATGGGATATCGGGGGGATATCAGGGGAGACCAAGGGAACCTAAGAACACTTAATTTAACACTGTCAATCGCTGACCAGTCAATACTCCAGACGCCTGTCAGAAAAATGGGTATAAACAAAGAAAAAAACAAAAAAAAGGGGGTCCAAGTAAGAAAAAGGGGGTTAAAGAGTAAGAAAAGGGGTGTAAGAGTTAACAAGAACGAGTATAAGGAAGAACGTGCCATTGAAGGGTTATCGAGGGGAAAGAATTTTCGAAACAACTCGAGGAAATAACCTTTAATGAAAATAACAAAGTTGACGAAACGACGGAATTCTTACTTCAATAATACAGCCCCGCTCGGCCTGATCTGAGCTGGTCATTGCGAAGGAAAATCGGAGATCGACGGTGCGAGTGGATGTGCGGCGGAAGGTGAGGGACGGGCCATGTTCCATGTTCGCTACACACAGCTCCACAAGCGAAGCATGACTCCCAAAAAAAAAAAAAAAAAAAAAAAGCAAAGCATGACTCCGCGAGTGCATGTGTGTGTGTGTGTTGCGTCATCAGGTCCGTTATACGCACCTCAACAAGGGATAATGGGTAGAACACGCCCACCTGAAGGTATTGGGAGTAAACGGCTCAAAAATTCTTTGGGTGGCCGTTTTCTGCCTGTATTATTCCCAGCAGAAAAGCTTGCGTCAGTGTGTGTTGTCATGCTCGGTATGCACAACTCCACAAAAACATCACGACTATGCCAGCCTATCTCCTCGAGCTTACACCAACTTATAAGGAGGTTGAAATCTGTGTGTGTGTGGGGTTCAATCGTACGTTCATAAAGACAGCGGCAAGTGGAAGAGCTGCGAATACAATAAAGAGCAAGACGGGAAGTGTAAAAACGAGGAGAGAGTGCAATACAGGCCGACAGACCAGGCGTGAGAGCGCGCCCGCGAGAGAGAGAGACGGGGGATTTGTACTCGCTCGAGGCACTACTTCAATGATCAAACAAATCCCCAGAAAAAAAAAAAAAGAAAAAAAAAAAGGAAAAGATTGAAGTTCATCAAACAAAGTAAAGGCACTCAAACAGAGAGACTAACACAGCAACGTCCCAAATGCCAAGAGGGTCGGATCAAGCGCCTTCATCCGGACGCTTTTTACGCCAAGATCCGGAAAAAGCAGATCAACCCAAATCCTCTGCACATTTCCGCAAACCCGTCCAGATTCAGGCGTCAATCCAATCCTGTTTGGCCAATGGGCCCTCCGCCCCTTGGATGCACACATCGACAGTATACTAGTATACCACAATTAACGCACCCTTGCCAACGAATTAAATCTTCTTGCCCAAAGCTTACCCCAGATCCAACGACTACACGTCGTGGTTTCCCTCCCCTTCCCCTCCCTCACCCCCCTCCTCTTTCCTCTTTTAAAGAACTTACAGTTTCAAAAACTTACACAGGTTAAACTCAAAGCAAGAAACGCTCTCGTCTCGTAACACGCGTAAAACGACGCTTTATCTCGTTGAAAAATCTGTACAATCCATGAAAACGTTTTCAGCTCAGAATAACCCCCCCATGATGTAAAACGAGGCGAAAGTAAAAACAAGAGGGGGCTTTAAAGTTCATACTAAACCTATTTAATCTGTACAATCCATGAATTTCAAAACGTTTTCAGCTCAGAATACCCCCCCCCACCCTGGTGTAAAACGAGGTGAAATCAGAAAGAAGAGGTTATAGCGCCACAAGAAAAACAACGGAAGCAGAAACGAAGCCGGCATGTACTGCTCAACTACACAGCACAGAAACGAAGCCGGCATGTGCTGCTCAACTACAGCAGCACAGCTCGTGCAGCGAATGATGACTTGCCTTCCAATATGTGCTGAACTACAGCAGCACAGCTCGTGCAGCGAATGATGACCTGCCTTCCGATATGGCCTCCCACGTTCCACCTGGCTGTCTATCCGCCCCACAAACAGGTTTTGATTGACCTTGATCAAGATCCGAGTCAGATCAACCGTGTCGAGAAGTCGTGGAGGAGCTGGGCTTAAAAGTCTATAATCGCACGAGACAGCACTGAAAAACGGAATGATGTCTCGCCGAAACAACACTAACACAGCTAAGAATGGAGATTATTGCTTTCCAACGTGGTCATGACCCCGCGGTCATGACCGCGGGGGATACATAGCGTATATCCTCATCCTCTTCTCCTTCCCTGAACGGTGAACACACCAAAAACAAACCAGAGCATCTACTACTCCGACAAAGACAGCAGCAGTATATCCTCAATTCTATTCTCCTTCCCTATATACACACCGAAAACGGAGAAGGGGAGCTACTTCTCGGTAAAGAAACGAAAATAGGTAAAATCCCCAACGATATCCAGAAACGGCGGCGTACCTACATAATGCCACATTTGACCCGCTGTAGTTTGACTCGCTGTAGTTCGACTCGCGATCGGCGAAAGAAAAACAAAAACGACAATGTAAGAAACACAAAAAAAGATGCAATGTCAAAAAGTCGAAGAAGGTACACATCCAGACTGCATCCCAACATGGCGGCGAAACTTGACACCGTTGACGGCAGAACGTGAAAATCTTTTGTGCTCGACGTAGAACTTTGCATATCGTCCTGCCATATCCAAAAACTCTGGAATTATGGTAAATCACTTGCCCATCACTAATCGATTTGCGAATGCCCGCGCACCTCAGTGCATGTGTTCTATCACGTACCATCGACCACAAGAGGGTAAGACGTCATACGTTCTCTCTTGCACAGTCTACAGCCGTCAAAATCTCTCCTATCCCTCTCTTTCTCTCCCGTACACACATCCACTGTGACAGACAAAAACCATGTCAACGAAGTGATCAATCAACGCGCCATTCCCCCAGGTCGCTGTACGAATGCCTTACACACGCTGATGTTTCCCTTCTCTCCGACACACGTGTCCAGAGCTTAAATCTCTCTTATGTTCTCCTCCTCTCCCACACACATCTACGGACCTTAACCAGGTTATCAGATCTATCATTCATTCTAAAAATGATATCGTTTGTTTTTTCCAACTCGGTCAATCAACGTGCCGTTTCCCCGATTTCCTGTACGTACGTATGCCTCTCTCACACACTCCCACCATGGCAACGCTCATCTTGAAAGCTCTTCAAACCGAACTGATGGCTCACGTTGTCCCGCCTTGATCATGACGAGTCTGTGATGGCTCACGTTGTGACAAAGATAAGTGGGTTCTGAGGAATAGCCTCTTCTGATCGACATATCATATCATCATATCATATCATATAGTACACAGCTGTATACAATCCATATCCTACTTTCAGTTCGTGGGACACCAACAAAGCTGTCTCTTATACACATCTAGATGTGTATAAGAGACAGGCTGTATACAATCCATATCCTACTTTCAGTTCGTGGGACACCAACAATCCCAGTACACAGCTGTATACAATCCATATCCTACTTTCAGTTCGTGGGACACCAACAATNTCGTGGGACACCAACAATCCCATATCCTACTTTCAGTTCGTGGAACACCAACAATCCCATATCCTACTTTCAGTTCGTGGAACACCAACAATCCCGTCAAGTTATGGGACTGTACAAAGACGACTTCCTGTACACGAGCGATCTCAGCCATCCCGCGAATGGATGACCGACACGTGTACAGGCGATTAAGAGATCGACGACTCTCAACAGCCCGCCGCCCTCCACATCGACTATGATTACACTTTCCGACAGACAAAACGACGACGCAATCAGTCAAAAACTACATTCCCGCCCGGTGCTTTCCGCTTCTCTCGACAGCTTCGACGGTGTGCTTTGGCCGCCGCCTTCCCTACCGACCAGGGGTCCACGACTACACTTTCTGCTGGTAGTCGAGCATGAAGAATCAATCACTCACAATTACGTTGGCTCGGTGCGGTCGACTCAGCACCTTAGATGGTGCTCTTCACGACTTCCTTAATCCTCCTCGCTAATCCCCCCCTCTTCCTCTCCCTCGCAGGGGATTGGAGAGTCTCAACTGGTTCAGATTGCATTTCGCCCCCTCCCAGGACGACCGGTCGTTCCATCGGTGTGTCTTTGCCGTACAGGTCGCCCGGCACAGGACCCGTCGTTATCTCCTGGAGTCCCGTGGTCCCGAGGGTGGTCCTATCCCTCGGGGTTTCTGAGACGGAAGATGACATGGAGTGGGCAGCTGGCCGACCGACACGCAGCGCCTCGACTGCGGAACTCAACCCGGGACCCCGACCGCCGTCCCTGACCTGTTCATCATAGACGTCGGTCCCGACAGCCGGACGGGTGCGGGGGGAAGCGGAAAAGGACACATCTGTGCGCTCCGGCTCCGCTTTCGCGGGGTATTCTCGCAAAGCGGACAAACCACCAAACCCGCCTCCGCGGACACCCGCGTCTGCGCCTCCTCTCATCTCCGTCGCTGCGCGCCGCGCGAGACGGCGGATTACCCTGACCTCGAAATCCAAATCATAGCTGGATAGATCTTCGGCTTTCCTCAAGACCTCCGCCACCCTCTGCGAAGCGTCACTCATTCGCTTCTCCTTAAGCGCTTCCGCCGTGATGATATCGTTCTCCGCCTTCTCTCTCGCAGACCGTAACCTCCGCGTCTTCTCTCTCTCCGCGGCATCGATGATGGCTAGCCCTTTAGATTCCGCGAAGCGGCGGATTTCCAGCGCCTCCAGGTCCGTTAAGCACGCCTCCGCTACGGCCTGGGCCTGCGCTAGCGCCATCCACGCCTCCGCCTTGCTGCGCTCCGCCGCCTTGTACGATTCCACTCTGATGTCGATCTCGTCCTTGAGCGCTTGCAAGCGCAACCGCCTGGCTTCCACCTCCACCACAGCCCCCACGTCAACATCGCCATACGGCGGAACTGGCACAAGCAGCGTCCTCTCTTCCAATCCGATAATCTTGTCCTTCATCGAGACGTTAAAACACACCCTCTCCTCCCTGACGGAACCCCTCTTAAGCTCTCGAAGACGCTCCTCGACGGTCTTTCTAGCGCGCGCCAGGTCCTCGTCGTTGAGCAGTACGCTTCGCTCAGCAGTGCTGCCCCGCCACCGTCCATACTCCCGCTCTAAATCTTTTGTCCAATCCTCAGCTCCCTGCCATTCCCTCCTCCTCCCGTAAGCAGAACGATCTTCTATACCAGAGTAGTACAGCTTCTCTCTCCTGAGTTCGTCGTCAATTCCAACAACACCCTCTCTCTCTCCCACCTCGGCGCGACCTTTCCCCTCTATACGTCCTCCATACACGCCGACTCGATCACGCCGTCCCTCTCCCTCGAAAATGCCGTGACGTTCACGCTGCTGCCGCCCCCCACCGCCGGAGTAATACCTCTCCTCCATCCTGTAGATTTCATCTCCCGAGAGTCGCTGGTCTTTGTCCCGCACCCAATCCTTGCCATTCATCATCCCCCCTTCAACCGCACCCACGCGATCGCCGCCACCCCCCACCGTGCCGTAATACGTCCGTTCGGCTTCTATGCCTCGGTCGTCGACCACCTCGCCCTGCCTCCGTTGCTCGCCAATTCCAGCAGCTTCCGACCGGTCTTTCCCCTCCATCCCTGTGGACATGCCGCCAGCAAGCCCAACGTCAGTGTAGTACATCCTCTCCCTTTCATCCCACACGTTTGCCGCCATTCCGTACGAGCCAATGTACGATCACAATGTCGGGTGCGTCCAATCACGTCTACGAGCCGACAATCGACGATCACAATGTCGCTCCGCGACCAATCACGTTTACAATCTCTCGAGGTTCACAAGACGGACCTCAAGAAACCAGTCGCAGCGGACGAGCGCCAGCAGATTTGACACCTCGTTCTGGTCCTTCTCAAGACGTCTCACGATCGGCTGTGGCAGGAAGCTCTGCCTCTGGTCCGACGCTGCCCGCCGACAGAAGACTCACTCGACTGCATTCAACTGCAACTCAAGTCCCGGTCAACTTCAACTCGTTTGTCGGCCGCCGTTGAGTGCAGAAAGATAAAAGCCTCCACCAAAGAAAAAGAAATTGAACGAACAAAAACAAAGAAAAGCAAGATTTGAGACGAAGAAAACAACGAAGAACAAGATGTGAGCAAAGAAAAAACAGATTCGCTACTATCCTCGGCGTCGCCGCCTGCTAGGTAGTCTGCATCGGCGAGGTAAGACAGAAGCGAAGTAATCGGACCAGAAAAAACAGCGGGAGCCGGCAAGAGAGATGCCCTCCAACGTTCTTTCCTCCCTCTGCCTCCTGCTGGTCACGCCTTGCTTACTCTGGTGTCAGTTTCTCCCCGCGGCGAGAACGCCTTCTACGCCAGTTAGCCTTCAAAAACGCGGACAACTGAGTTCTATCTTTTGATGCAATGGTACACCGACGAAGGGAGGTATCTATTTATGTAGTATGTACCATTCGTGTCGGACCCGACTTTTCATGCCGCCAGTCGACCCCCGAAAGGAAGGAAAGAGTGGGAACAACAGCGACAGCCGTCGATTTGCGACGTGGGTAGAATCTCAAGCACAAGCATGTATCATTATTCGAGATCTAACGTCAAGAAGAATGGCGTGCTTCTTTTTTTTATTTTTTATTTTATTTTTTGACACGCATAAATCGAGAAATGGCGTGCTTTCCACGTTCCGTCGAACAGAACAGATTGACTGTTGCATAAGCACTGCAGCAAAGACCAGCAGAAGCCTCCAGACATTAGACACATGGCATGCCTATGTGTTCTATTTCACGCTGGCCTTATCAGAAGTAAGAAAATACGTGTGACTCGCTTCCGCACTGGCTTCCAGATCTGCCAACCTGGCTTCCAGTCTGGCTCACGTATCCACGCCACGAGGGGAGGAAAAGACCGGCAGGGAGGGGAGAAAACCCGAAAGCCGATTGTCGGACTGGAATCCTTTGACTTGGGTTCAACTGAAAAGAAGGTTCCAAGAATGACCTTAGCTCAGTTGGAACACCGGTGACCTGATGAAATGCAAACCAAATTTCGGGCTCTCTCGCACCACAGCTGTGATGCAAACCTACCCCGATGTACTGCACCCTCTTCCTCTGCAATGGCGTTTCATCTTCTTCCTCCTCTTCCACCTCTTTCAACTTCTCTTCTTCTTCTTTCTGTATCCTTTCCTTCTCTTTGGCCATCTCTTCCTCTATCTTCTTCAGTTTGGCCGCCTGCTCCTCCTTCAAGGCCTTCTTCTTGGCCTCCTTCTTCTCCTTCTTCTCCTGCAGAATGGCGGCCATCTTCTCCTCCTCCTCCTTCGTGTAGGGGTTGGTGGAAGTCCCACCACGAGTGGGCCCTACTCTACACGTGAAAGTGGGCCAAAAGCCAAAGGAAAGAGGAGACGCCAAAGGGTCCCCCAGAGGGAGAACCTAGCAAGTAGCCCATACATCGGATAGTCATCCATCGTGGTGTTGGTGCACGACAAAGGTCCCATTCCTCACCACGTAGACCTACCCGGACACTCTAACCTACTGGCTGACTCCCTAAGGACCACAGGATAAGACCATGTCAATGATGATCACAACTAACCCAAGACTACTCTAAGGCTGTCACTACAGAACCAAGAGCTGATCAGGAGGTATTTAAGAAGATCCCCCAAACTTCGCAAGAATTCTTTAACGTCGCAGACAGGACGACGCGATCAGCTTGGTTCCTCTGACGATTTCAGCCCACAACTCAGCCCGTCCAGCCTCCTGTGCCACACCGAGCGGCCCGCCGGTCAGTACCGGTCCTTGGAGGGGTTCGTATCCCTCGGGACAGTCGAGTCGTCAGACACGGATCATCAGCCTTCTGGGTCCGGTAGGGGAGTGGCTCAACCAGGCCTCAACACTTAAAGACAGCCTTCGTTTCAGCGTACAGCTCAGAGTGCAGACCTTCCACACTGAACTCAGTAGACCTGCCGGACAGTACCGGTCATTGGGCTAGACGAGTTGTTTAACGAGTGCTCGCCGCTCATGCCTAGGTCTCCAAGTGCCAAAGTAGAGCTTTGGTCCTACTAAGCCCGTGCAGGTTTGGCAGCAAGGCCCTATCCTTCATCCACAGAGTCCTAGCACCTAAGACATAAGAGACTCAATRCAGAAAGARTAGACAGACAAMTCAGCAAGTACCGTGGGGTAAGTGCACATCCRCAGGGTAAGGGGATAGGCTAAGGGYTCARCGAGATATCACCAATTCCAGCTTGGTYAAAATCTTGGTCAGCAGCTCCGGTCAACGCCTTGGTCAACGMTGAGTCAACGCCCGGTCAACCCTCAACCTCGGCTATGGCTGCCGGCACTATCACCTTTGTCACCCTCGCCGTCTTCTTCCCCTTCCTTCACTTTCTTTCTTCTTCTCCTTCGCTGTATATATATATATATATATATATATATATATATATATTTTATACACACCCCCGGCTATGTCTGTCTTCTTCTTCGTTCTCCTCCTTCCACACTTCTTCTTCTCTCTCCTCAGTCCCTCCTTCTCTGTCCTCCCTTTCTCTCTCCTCCGGTACTCTGTATTAATACTCCGCGGTTACAGCCGTCTTCCTCCTCCACCGGACTCCACGGCTCGGCTCACGGGTAAGTGACAACCAATCTTGGATCGCTCATCTCTCTCTCTCTCTCGCTCTCTCTCTCTCTCTCTTCCGCCGTAGCGGTATCTTCAGCGCAGCAGGTAAGTAACCAATCTTGTATCACTCATCTCTCTCTCTCGTGGTCTCCTTGTTGCAGGTGCGCGGCTTCTCCTTCCACCTCGAGGTCCGCTATGGCGGACTACCTCCTTCGGCGGCACTTCAGCTATGGCCAATCGGCCCTGCACACATCGCGCGCATGGAACAGCGGGTACCTGCACCGATACCAGTGCATTCACACTCCGATTATTCACACTTGTCTTGCATGCAAACAACGATACAGCAACTGGCGACATGCGCCCTGACAATACTTAAGATATCGTAACCAGATATGAGTTCTCTTCAACTAGCTATGGCGACTGGGCGCCCACACAACTCACTGTTCGCACTCTGGATCACCCTGGATGTCCCACACGCAACACTCAGTATCATACGCAACACACACACACGCTATGGTACAGCTATGACAGCGCTAACTGCCACTACCTATCCCTACACTACACTTCTCTGCCCACTTCGTCTTCGGGCACACTGTAGACCTCCTCGCACAAGCTGCTAAGGCAGCGCTTCCGCATGGCTTCCTCTGCCCACTTCGTCTTCGGGCACACTGCAGACCTCCTCGCACAAGCTGCTAAGGCAGCGCTTCCGCATGGCATCCGCAGAAATGAATGAATGGCTGGACGCAGCCTCTTGATTTTTACTTCTGCGTTGCGTTGGTCTGCCTTGTATCCCTGGCCCATGGTGCACACAGTCCCCCCCGTGGTACTTGCTGGACCGGACTGGTACTTTCTAGACTCTCCCATGACTGCATGGCGACTACCCTACGACGCAGTG